ATTCCAGCACCTCGGAGGAGGGAATGTCTGGCGTGTGGATACTCCTCTTGGGCATGACTCCGAAGGGCTCCACGCCTCCTTCCCTCTTCACCACTGAGCACTGTAGTGAGACTTGGAGTTGTACCCTTGACTTCAAGAGCTGCCTGGGAGCCAGCTTCCCCTCCTGCCACCGCACAGGCCAGACGCTGGTTGTGCGCAGGCTTAGCTTTTTGCTAACCTGGGGTGGTTTCTCTGAGTTTGGTTGCGTGCCTCCGGGTGTGATGTCCCGCACAAACACTGGCCTTGATCCTGAAGTCCTCATTTGTCATTGCCTGGCTTCTTGTTCTCTCAAGCCGAGTCAGAAATACACATTTGCCTGTTCTTTCTTGGCACGGACGTGGAAGATTCAATGAGACAGAGGGAGAGTTTGCTTGCAGTCCGCTCTGTTCCTTCTGCGTGTTCACTCATCACATCCAGTTGGACTCTTTCCTTCCAGGTGGCACACACAGCGGTGCAAGTCCTCAAAGATCATGGAGACATGGGTGCAAGTCCTCAAAGATTATGGAGACACGGATGCAAGTCCTCAAAGATCATGGAGACATGGGTGCAAGTCCTCAAAGATCATGGAGACACGGGTGCAAGTCCTCAAAGATCATGGAGACACGGGTGCAAGTCCTCAAAGATCATGGAGACAGCGGTGCAAGTCCTCAAAGTGCAAAGAGACATTGGTGCATATCTTCAAAGATCCGAGACACCAGTGCATGTCCTCCAACATCACAGAGACACCAGGGCATGTCCTTAAAGACAGATACACTGGTGCATGTCCTCAAAGATGTTGGAGACACTGGATGAACCTGCAGCTATTCACTTACTTTCTATGTTTTACTACCTTTTTCTGTTTTTTTTCCCTGAGGAATTTCTTTTGTCTTAATTTCTGGAAAGACACATAAGTAATAAGACCGATGGCCAGGGCTGGTAGCAGCGAGTCGAAGTCTGGGAGCCACAGGCCTGAAGAAATCAGTCTGAAGGTCTGTCTCTGGAGTTGTGAGGGACGCTCTTCAGCACCCGCCTCGCTGTTAGCAGCGCTTTGCCTGACCCCTCGATTTTACTCAGCCAGAGGCCTTCCTGCACACACAGCTGCCCGAGGGTATCTGAAAGGACAGCCATCTGCTCTTAGCAGGTGACTGGCAGAGTCACAATGGTGTGTTCTCCTGGGAAATTCCCAGATGGAGAATCTGAGAGTTCACGATTGGGCGTGTGCACATTCTACTCCTTCTGAACAATTAGACTTTCTCTTGAGCTCATTTATGCCGATTCACTTGTGTTCAGTTCATTGGCTCAGGAGAATAGTGGAACAGTGTGTCCCTGGTCCAAACCCTTCTTGATGATGGTTACTACTCAGGCTTGCATTTCAAGGGGCCAAAAGCTCATACCGGAGGTGTTTCCTATGAGTTCAATCCTCTCTCGTTTTTCTCTTGCCACACTGGCATATCCTTATGAGGTGTGGGCCAGTGCTGAACTTATTGTCTTTCAACTCAAATACACCGTGAGCTGATGTACACCTAAATTCTCTGCAAAAAGTATTAAAATAAACCTGTTGAAAATCGCATGTAATAGTATATGTATACAACTAAGGTGAAGCATGGTCATTTTTTCTTTCTGTGACACATGAATTACAGTGATCACGTTCTCTGTATGTGGAAGGTCAGTTGTAGAACTGTGCAGTTTAAGATGGATCTGCGGTAGGATGAGCTGAAGATGATTCATTCAGGGCCAGCAGCTGAGAAGAACGGCTCTGCACCCAAGGGCAGGTCTCAGTCCAGGACGTGGAACTCCCCAACCGCAGGGCTCTCTGCAGACACAGAGAGTGCGTGCCTTCCGCAAGTGATTCCAGCCCAGGCTGTGGCCCCCTGTGAACTCAGGCTCCTCTCTGCTGTGCTTGTTTCTCTGTTTTATTTGTCGTGAACCTTCTGCACTCACAACCCCCTAAGTTAAGACCATTGTTGTTCTTAATACCAAAGTGATTTACAATTATACTTCCATAATTTAGAATATTCTTTTTTTGTATGTGTGCTGGTCCTGGAGCTTGAGCTCAGGGCCTGAGTACTGTCTCTGAGCTTTTTTATTGCTCAAAACTAGTGCTCTACCACTTGAACCATAGTTCCACTGACAGATTTTTAGTAGTTCATCGGACATAAGAGATCTCACGGGCTTTCCTGCCTAGAAGGGCTTTGAACCACCGGTGTGAGCCGCTGGTGCCCTGCTGTCTTGGGATATTCTTGACCCAACCTCGTTTGATTTGATGAGGTTAGTCGACATTTTTACCCAAGAAATAAATATTTTGAATCAGTGAGTCCTGGGGCTCATGTGGGGTAGACTTTGAATATTAAGAGCGTCTTCCTGAGAGCTGACGCTGTAGCCAAGTGCTTCAAGTGCAGAGCAGTTCAATCTCGTATCCATATCCCTAGATCCATGTATGCACACACCCATAGCGATAAAGAAGCGATCCGGAGGGCGTGAGGGAGGCTGGCACACTCGGTGGGGTTCCGCCTCTGCAGGCGATTGCTTCTCCACAGGCCCATGTCTTGATGCAGTGGTGTCAAAGGAAAGCGCGGCTGTGGTGCAGCGGCTGCTGTTCTGAGGATGGAGGGCCCGGCGGCCTCCTGTGTGTGTGCCGTAAGGCGCACCTGTCCCGGTGAGGCCGCACACACACTGTGGAGAGAGGGCAGCTAACGTGGTGTGTTTGTTCATAATCACACACGCCTACCACGGTCCTTACACTGTCCGCTCAGAGCAGAGAGGTTATAGCGCCGGGCCTTTGTCACGTGTTTAAGATCACAGGTGCGATGACGGTGGAATCTCATCTCCTCCTCTTGGAACCCATTCTCATTAAAAAACGTCTAGTTAGCCATCAGCTGCTGGAATCCGGAGACACTGAGCTGTGGGAAGAGCTGCTCAGGGCACGGGCCTAAGGCCCAGAAGCAAGGCGTGTGTGGGGGGGGGCAGCCACAGTTCCCACGCAAGCCCGTGGCTGAGCCGGACGCGGTGCCGCGCCTTGCACAGGGCCTGGCCCAGAAGCCCGGGGAAGGAGCGGCCCGGCCCAGGTGAGGGAAGCAGGCAGCCGCCGTCCCCGGCACAGGTCCCGGGCTGCGCCCAGCCGTTCCTCCAGCACTCAGGGGTCAGGACGCGCCCACCCTAGCTCACAGGAGCCGCCATGTCAGACTTTCCAGACGGAAGGATCCGGAAGGGAGCAGAGCAGGTCCACCGGAGCCAAGTGCCTGTGCCTGGAAGCCACAGCTGCCTGTCAGCAGACGTCCCCCTCCTCACGGGAGCACGGGGATGAGGACTCCTTCCTCCTCACGGGAGCACGGGGATGGGGACTCCTCCCTCCTCACGGGAGCACGGGGAGGGGGACTCCTCCCTCCCTCCTCACGGGAGCACGGGGATGGGGACTCCTCCCTCCTCACGGGAGCACGGGGATGGGGACTCCTCCCTCCCTCCTCACGGGAGCACGGGGATGGGGACTCCTCCCTCCCTCCTCACGGGAGCACGGGGATGGGGACTTTTCCCCCCTCACGGGAGCACGGGGAGGGGGACTCCTCCCTCCTCACGGGAGCACGGGGATGGGGACTCCTCCCTCCCTCCTCACGGGAGCACGTGGAGGGGGACTCCTCCCTCCCTCCTCACGGGAGCACGTGGAGGGGGACTCCTCCCTCCTCACGGGAGCACGGGGAGGGGGACTCCCCCCTCCTCACGGGAGCACGGGGATGGGGACTCCTCCCTCCTCACAGGAGCACGGGGAGGGGGACTCCTCCCTCCCTCCTCACGGGAGCACGTGGAGGGGGACTCCTCCCTCCCTCCTCACGGGAGCACGGGGAGGGGGACTCCTCCCTCCCCCTCCTCACGGGAGCACGGGGATGGGGACTCCTCCCTCCCTCCTCACGGGAGCACGGGGAGGGGGACTCCTCCCTCCCTCCTCACGGGAGCACGGGGAGGGGGACTCCTCCCTCCCTCCTCACGGGAGCACGGGGAGGGGGACTCCTCCCTCCTCACGGGAGCACGGGGATGGGGACTCCTCCCTCCTCATGGGAGCACGGGGATGGGGACTCCTCCCTCCCTCCCCCCCTCCTCACGGGAGCACGGGGATGGGAGCCCCTTGGGGAAGGACTCCAGGACTGTCCCGGGTATTTTGTAGCAGAGCGACAGGAAGGACAGATGGATGCAGGACCCCCTGCCCTTCGGCTCTGCCCACGGCAAGTGGGGACCCAGGAAGTGACCAGAAGCCACTTCATAGCCACAGTCTCGTCCGACTCCGGGAATTATGGGAACGCTCGGGGCATTTGCACGGATGTGCGCGTCATCCTCAGACCAAAGCAGCTGGACGGGTGTGCGGGAGGATTCTGCTCTGGGAAGCTCATTATGTCTTAGGAACAGGAGATTTATGTTTCCGATCACTGATCCACTGCCTTATATTCGCTTACATTTGCTTTTTCAATGATGTGACTTATTGGAATTTAGGGAGCATTCTGTGGTATTAAATAAGACTCATCATTAAAAACTCCTCTTGGCCGGGCGCCTGTGGCTCACGCCTGTCCTAGCTTCTCAGGAGGCTGAGATTTGAGGATCACGGTTCAAAGCCAGCCCAGGCAGGAACGTCTGTGAGATTCTTACAATAACCTAACCCCTCCCCCCACTGCCTCAAAAAAACAAAAACAGAAACAAAGGTGGAAGTGTGCCATGGCTCAAGTGGTAGAGCGCTACCCTCGAGCAGAACAGGCTCAGGCCCTGAGTTCAAGCCCCAGGACTGGCAACAAAGAAAAAACAAACAAATACATTGTGTTAGAGCACTGAGTACAAATAAATTGACTTGAGTCACATTTCATTTTAATTAAAAACAAATACTGTAAAAAGCTGGTCCCTAAATCGGCAACCAGGTATTTCCTAAGCCGTCTTCCATAAGAGGCAGAGATTTAGTGAGTGACCCCGATACTGAGGAGTGAGGGCTCCTTCCCCTCCCAGGCTCCTAAGGTGGTAAACACAGACGGGCAGCCGCGGTGAACAGCTCTGGGTGATAGTCCCGGCTGCCCCAGGACTTCCTTCACAGAGTTGAATGAGGTTTCTGTTGCAAGGCCCTGTCATGCTAGGCTTACATCGGCGGCCCTAGAGTAGCCTGGACCTCACGGTACCCTCCTGAATGCCCGTGACAGGTCATCTCAAAAATACATGTAGTATGCCCAGTAAAACACATTGGCCAGCATAAAAATCAAAGGGAACAGGAGCTTGGAGTATCGATCCACGTTGCTGGGGTTCTGAATGGTGAAGCAATCTGCAATCCTGCCGACTTTCTCCCGGAAGATGACCTTGAACTTGTCGCTGGCCTTCATGGTCAGGTCGCTGTAGCCGATATTGTCACCAGAAATCTCGATGCTGGCAAAGCTGATCTTCCCCTTGAAGCTGGAGATGGAGCTGTTGATGATGTTGGTGATGTTGACTTCCTCCACCTCCTTCTCCGCCCCCTGCGTCACAGACAGCAAAGTTAGCTTGGAAAGCCAAGAATGAGGAGAGGTGTAGAACCCTAGCTACCCAACAACGAGGTTGAATCGGGCAAGGGTCTGAGCACCGGCAGGAATGGCTGGATCCCAAGGTTCCAGGGGGCCCCCATTCTCCAGTGGCCAGGCCAAACGGGAGTGTAAGCTAATTGGAAAGGGTGTGCTTGGACATTTTTGGCCGGCCCGTGTACTCTCTGGGCGTCGGGTCTGGGATGAGTCAACTGGCCTCGTTGAGTGGCAGGTCTCTCAACCCTGAAATAAGGATAATCACGGTGCTCCTTGGCTTGGGTTGTTGGATGGACTGGGGGCTGGAGTTGGCAGAGGTCTGGGCCACCGCGGGCCTTCCCAGGGGCCTCTGCAGATGAAGGGCATTCTGCTCCCGCAGTTCGACTCCTACCCGTTCTCCAACCCCTTTCCCTGATCTAGCAAACCTAGAGTTTGGGGAGAGGCGTATAATCGAACCTCCTTTCCCTCCTTTACACTCTTCTTCCTCTGGCCTACGTGTCCACTGCTCCTGGGACAGAGCTGCTGGCTGCTCTGGTTACCGAGTCCCGGGCATTTCCTGACGTAGGTGCCTGTCACCATCTTGTCTGCAAGCATAAGCTTCCATACGCCAGTGTCTACCGAGCGTGGCTTCCCAGGACTGCAGGGTTCCACGTGGCCGTAAAGGCTGTGTCAGCCGTGTGAGCCGAGCCGAGGCTGCTGCCAGAGGGCATGGCGGTGGCAGGGTTCCGGGCTACACAGCCACGGCTAAGTCTCAGCGACCCTTGCTCGTCTGTGTCTCTGGGTCGTTCACTGCCCTCCTTAGTCTTCAGATTCCACAACTAGAAATGGAGCTGGTTCTCACTGGGCTGTCCCACGCGTCTGAAATGTTATAACGTCGCAGAAGGCTCTACTGCGTCTGGCTCACAAACGCACTCGATAACTTATCAGAGACTGGGCCTTGGCCTTTCACGCTAAATAAAATGACTGCTTCCCTGTGGTTCTCCTGATGAGCAGGAAAAATGTGCTAATCAAGAAAATTCTTATGATTTAATGTCTTCCTGTCCTTTATAAATGAGTAGTTATATAATTCAAGCGCACAAGGATGTATCAGAAGAATTAAATAGTAATTAAAATATTAACCTGAAATTTGCAAACCACTGATCATATTTGGTTTGATATTGGAGTTTTCTACCCATGCTGGTTCTTGCAGTCATAATGTTGTATTGCATATGCAAAACAGTTACTTTCTGCCAAGGAATTGAATGTGTTGGTATCTCATTGTATATGGAGAAGAGAAACCTCCCTGCCTCTCTCCTCCTCCTCCTCTTCCTCCTCCTCCTCCTCCTCCTCAAGGCCTGGGTACTATCCCGGAGCTTTTTCACTCAAGGCTAGCACTCTATCCCTTGAGCCACAGCTCCACTTCTGTCTTGTTTGCTGGTTAACCTGGGGGTAAGAGTCTCACAGACTTTTCTGCCAGTCTGACTTTGAACTGCATTTCTCAGACCTCAGCCGCAGGAGCCGCTGGGGTGCCCGGCGTGAGCCGCCGGTGCTCAGCTGAGAACCCTTTCTAAAGGGCCCAAGGGCCCACGGTGGACACTGGCTCTGGGTCAAGACTCACAAGCAAGTGAGCCAGCGGGCAAGCGGGGCCCGGCTCACGTCCGGACAGCGTGCGGATCGGTGATGGATCGCAGACAGCAAGCCCTCACCCTGTCTTTGGCTGCCACCTGCTGTAAGGAGCTGTAGTGCGCAACGGCGTACTCCACCAGGGCTCCGAACACGAAGCTGAAGCAGATGCCCAGGTACACGTCGATGGCTTTGATGAAGCAGTTGGTGTTGGGCAGGGACGTGCGGGAGCCGATCATCAGCGTGGTCATGGAGAGCACTGTGGTCACCCCTGGGAAAAGAGGGGGTGCGTCGGTGCCGGAGCTGGAGCCGGGAGCCCTCCCCAGGCTGGGCGCCGGTCGGGACCCGTGGGTTGGGCACAGAACCCTTCTGGGGATGGGTGACTGATCTGTCTACATGCACGGACAGAGCACACGGCTCTGCCCTCCCTGTGGGGGTGGCGACACAGAGCGTGATTGACAACTGACCATCCAATCACATTCCTCGCATTTGTCACTGCAAAACAGAAACCTAACTGTAAGAAAAAAAAATATCAAGCACTTTCCCCAAAGTTGTCTTTCTCTGTCTCGGTCTCCTTTTCTCTCTCTCTCTCTGCAGAGGAGTTTCTCAAGAGATCAGTTCTTGATGGATGAGAGCCACGGTGGAGCCGGGGGTGGGCGAGTGACTGATCAAACCAGCTCTTAAAACCACCTATTGATCCAGGAAAATGATATTGACTGAGATGAACCCCAGGAAACAAACAAAGAAGCCCATTGGACAGCTCGGAGGCGTGGCTCAGCGATAGAGCACCCATCCAGCAAGTACAAGGCTCTGAGTTCAAACCTCACCACTGACTGACCAAACACCCCCCTTCCCCCCAAAAAAGAGCCCCCACAAAGACTCATTAGCTGCTTACCAATGCAGGTTCTTGCGGGAACGGAGTCGAGGGAGATCCAGAAGGAGACCCAGGACAGCACCACCAGGAAAGTGGAGGGGACGTAGGTTTCCAGGATGAAGTACAACACGTTTCTCCGCAGTTCAAACTGCAAGACCAGCCGCGTGTAATTTCCTGACGGGAGAGGAGAGACACGGAGTCGCATCCGATGTGCTTGCGGTGGCCGGGCTTCCCGGGCCGGGGGGGGGGGGGGGGGGAGTGGTGGTGGTGAGCGCATCCGTTCTGGCTACGGCTGCTACCCGAGCCCAGGGACCCGGGCACTGGCTGTATGGTTGCACCCATGCCCTGATGGCATGGAGTGGGATTTATGGTGGCACTGTTGTAAAAGGACAGTAACATTACCGGGAAAATGCACAATATATCAAATAAGAATGTGTGCTTCCGGAGCCTATGGGACCCTAGAGATCATTTATTATTTTGCTTCCTGGTGGAGGGCTGAAGACACCGAGAGTTGTGGTGACAGTAAAGTCCCACGGTGGATGCTGGACAAACAGATCTTTTGCTCTGTGGTCCCAATACATGCAACTCGTCTACACGGTCTGTATCACCCCTTGGTTTGGAAAGCCAACCTTAAAACAAAGACCAAAACTACACCATTTGGCTGCACGGTGGCCTAGTTTTATATCTGAGGTGGGGATGTGATCCCTAGACTTTCATGGAGAAAACTAAAGCCTTTCTTTCCCTCATGAATCCAAATTAAGAATTCAGATTGGAAACGATGGCGGCACAAGCCTAAACTGAAAACGTGTCTGCTCCTCTTTAAATAGAGCACATTCACGACCCCTTCTAAAAGTAATGCCAGCAGAAAGAGAGGAGCCTCTTCCCATTCCTTTCTCTTCCCTCGGCGCCAACCCGCCCTGCGTTTCCACGCGTTTCCGCGCGGGCTCAGCTCCGACACATGGTGATTTCATAGGGTGGAAACATGGGTGACCGGGAAGGAAGAGCGGCTGCTGCTGGGTGCGTTGGCCCCACGTGGAGCCTGCGCCACGTCCCCCCCAGGCCTGGAACTCCAGTGGCCGCGAGGAAAGCCGGCCCCTTGCAGTCCCCCCCTCCGGGATGGACTGCGTGCGGGAGTTACCTGTCTCCTGCTGGGACGTGGTGACCGAGGTGAAGTAGCGCTGCACCGTGTACTGGGCCAGCCGCAGGTTCTCCAGGCCGCGCACAGAATCGTTGCCCCGGAGCCAGGCGAACTCCACGTCGCTCCCATCATAGCCCCCTGAGAGAGGCGGGGGGGTCAGACGTGGGGGTGGGGGGGGTAAGACGTGGGGGTGGGGGGGGGTAAGACGTGGGGGAGGGGTGGGGTCAGACGTGGGGGAGGGGTGGGGTCAGACGTGGGGGAGGGGTGGGGTGTGGGTGTGGGTGTGGGGTGTGGGTGTGGGTGTGGGTGTGGGTGTAGGTGTGGGTGTGGGGTGTGGGTGTGGGGTGTGGGTGTGGGTGTGGGTGTGGGGTGTGGGTGTGGGTGTGGGGTGTGGGGTGTGGGTGTGCGTGTGGGTGTGGGTGTGGGTGTGGGTGTGCGTGTGGGTGTGGGTGTGGGTGTGGGTGTGGGGTGTGGGTGTGGGTGTGGGTGTGGGGTGTGGGTGTGGTGTGTGGGTGTGGGGTGTGGGGTGTGGGTGTGCGTGTGGGTGTGGGTGTGGGTGTGGGTGTGCGTGTGGATGTGGGTGTGGGTGTGGGTGTGGGGTGTGGGTGTGAGTGTGGGGTGTGGGTGTGGGTGTGGGGTGTGGGTGTGGGGAGTGGGTGTGGGTGTGGGGTGTGGGTGTGGGGTGTGGGTGTGGGTGTGGGGTGTGGGTGTGGGGTGTGGGTGTGGGGTGTGGGTGTGGTTGGGGTGTGGGTGTGGGTGTGGGTGTGGGTGGGGTGTGGGTGTGGGTGTGGGTGTGGGGTGTGGGTGTGGGGTGTGGGTGTGGGGTGTGGGTGTGGTTGGGGTGTGGGGTGTGGGTGTGGGTGTGGGTGTGGGTGTGGGTGGTGGGTGTGGGTGTGGGTGTGGGGTGTGGGGTGTGGGTGTGCGGTGTGGGTGTGGGTGTGGGGTGTGGTTGTGGGTGTGGGGTGTGGGTGTGGGTGTGGTTGTGGGTGGGGTGTGGGTGTGGGTGTGGGTGTGGGTGTGGGGTGTGGGTGTGGGGTGTGGGTGTGGGTGTGGGTGTGGGGTGTGGGTGTGGGTGTGGGTTGTGAGTGTGTGTGTGGGTGTGGGGTGTGGGTGTGAGTGTGGGTGTGGGGTGTGGGTGTGAGTGTGGGTGTGGGGTGTGGGTGTGGGTGTGGGGTGTGGGTGTGGGGTGTGGGGTGTGGGGTGTGCGTGTGGGTGTGGGGTGTGGGTGTGGGTGTGGGTGTGGGGTGTGGGTGTGGGGTGTGGGTGTGTGGTGTGGGGTGTGGGTGTGGGGTGTGGGGTGTGCGTGTGGGTGTGGGGTGTGGGTGTGGGTGTGGGGTGTGGGGTGTGGGTGTGGGGTGTGGGGTGTGCGTGTGGGTGTGGGGTGTGGGTGTGGGTGTGGGTGTGGGTGTGGGTGTGGGTGTGGGGTGTGGGTGTGGGGTGTGGGTGTGGGTGTGGGTGTGGGGTGTGGGTGTGGGTGTGGGTGTGGGGTGTGGGTGTGAGTGTGGGTGTGGGGTGTGGGTGTGGGTGTGGGGTGTGGGGTGTGGGTGTGGGGTGTGGGGTGTGCGTGTGGGTGTGGGGTGTGGGTGTGGGTGTGGGGTGTGGGTGTGGGTGTGGGTGTGGGGTGTGGGTGTGGGGTGTGGGTGTGGGGTGTGGGTGTGGGTGTGGGTGTGGGGTGTGGGTGTGGGGTGTGGGGTGTGGGTGTGGGTGTGGGTGTGGGTGTGGGTTGTGAGTGTGGGTGTGGGTGGGTGTGGGTGTGGGGTGTGGGTGTGGGTGTGGGTGTGGGGTGTGGGTGTGGGTGTGGGTTGTGAGTGTGGGTGTGGGTGTGGGGTGTGGGTGTGAGTGTGGGGTGTGGGTGTGGGTGTGGGTTGTGAGTGTGTGTGTGGGTGTGGGGTGTGGGTGTGAGTGTGGGTGTGGGGTGTGGGTGTGGGTGTGGGGTGTGGGTGTTGGGTGTGGGGTGTGGGTGTGGGGTGTGGGGTGTGGGTGTGGGTGTGGGGTGTGGGTGTGGGGTGTGGGTGTGGTGTGTGGGTGTGGTGTGTGGGTGTGGGTGTGGGTGTGGGGTGTGGGTGTGGGTGTGGGGTGTGGGGTGTGGGTGTGGGTGTGGGTGTGGGGTGTGGCTGTGGGGTGTGGGTGTGGGTGTGGGTGGGTGTGGGGTGTGGGTGTGGGTGTGGGTGTGGGTGTGGGGTGTGCGTGTGGGTGTGGGGTGTGGGTGTGGGTGTGGGGTGTGGGTGTGGGTGTGGGTGTGGGGTGTGGGGTGTGGGTGTGGGTGTGAGTGTGGGGTGTCGGTGTGGATGTGGGTGTGAGTGTGGGGTGTGGGGTGTGGGTGTGAGTGTGGGGTGTGGGGTGTGGGTGTGGGTGTGGGTGTGGGTGTGGGGTGTGGGTGTGGGTGTGGGGTGTGGGGTGTGGGTGTGGGTGTGGGGTGTGGGTGTGGGTGTGGGTGTGGGGTGTGGGGTGTGGGTGTGGGTGTGAGTGTGGGGTGTCGGTGTGGATGTGGGTGTGAGTGCGGGGTGTGGGGTGTGGGTGTGAGTGTGGGGTGTGGGGTGTGGGTGTGGGTGTGGGTGTGGGTGTGGGTGTGGGGTGTGGGGTGTGGGTGTGGGTGTGGGGTGTGGGTGTGGGTGTGGGTGTGGGGTGTGGGTGTGGGTGTGCTTGGCAGGGTTCTGAGGTGGGATCGGGTCACCTGCGGAGCTTCCCCTCCCCGGGAGCCGGCCCTGGGTCAGGCCTGGTGGACGTCGCCTCCCTGGCTCTACCCGGAGTTTAGGAGCCCCGAACCGTGGACAGGCCGAGGCCCGCGCACCAGCCCCGCGCACAGGCCTCAAACACGGGCCTCGCACACCGGCCTCACACACTGGCCTCACACACCGGCCTCGCACACCGGCCTCACACACTGGCCTCGCACACCGGCCTCACACACCGGCCTCGCACACCGGCCTCACACACCGGCCCTGTGCACCGGCCTCACACACTGGCCTCACACACCGGCCTCACACACTGGCCTCACACACTGGCCTCGCACACCGGCCTCACACACCGGCCCCGTGCACCGGCCTCACACACTGGCCTCGCACACCAGCCTCGTGCGCCGGCTGCCTTCCGGGTGGTCCAGGCACGGCGGAGCTCCCAGGGAAGTCGGACGTGGTCCATTCTCACTGCACACGGGCACTCACGGGACACCCGCCCACGGTCCTCAGCCCTCACACGTGACACTGCCTGCCCGCACGGCCCGACGGCCCCAGGTCCGCCCACCGGTGGCCACAGCGGCCATTCACCAGACGTGTACCTCACGCTGCTCCTCACCTCTCCCGGGCTCCCACAAAACTACCATGTCTATTTCTTCCACTTAAGATGGACGTTCACATCTCTGAACCTTGAGATGGAGCTTAGGGCCAGCGGTGCGTGCGTGGGTGCGTGGGTGTATGTGCGCGCGCGCGCGCGCGCGCGTGTGTGTGTGTGTGATCCAATAGATGTTGCACCTCAGAACTGAGGGATGCACCGTGTGTTCTGCCCTCTCTCTACAGGAGACCTCAGAGGCTGAGGAGAGACACAGCTTTCTCAGAATGCAAGGCAAGAAACAAAGCCAGCACCGCACCTCAGGAAACTCCCACCCAGAGCCGGGTGACCTGGGTAATGGGTGCCGTGTCTATCATTTAGCAAGCAATTACTGTCTGAGTGCTGTGCCGCATTACCGTCTCAATTAATCCTCAAAATATCCTTTGAGGAGCCCGTGAATAGCGAATAAGCGCATGGAAACAACCCCACATCGTTCATCATTAGGAAAGTGCAAATCGAAGCCACCACCCTCATCAGAACAGCTAGCAAGAACACACAGCAAGCCGGGAAGGCGCAGAGCTGCGGAGGCTTCAGGCGGGACCGAGCAAAGCACTTCAGCAGCTCCCTAAACTAAATCTGCCGCCTCACCAGGATCCTGCTCCTGGGATCTGCCACGAGAACATCCTATTCACACAAAGGTGGTAGGCAAACGTTCACAGTGACTCACACCTGTAATCCTAGGGAGTCAACAGCTGAGATCTGACTACAGCAGCCGACGCCAGCCCCGCGGTTGGTCCCTGAGACCCTCATCTCCTCTCAGCCAGCAACGTCTGGCAGTGGAGCTGCGGCTCAAGTGGCAGGGAGCTGGTAAAAGCAAAGGCCTTGAGTTCAAGCCCAGGACAAGCACAGTGAAATGTTCACAGTAGCATTATGCAAGCAAATGTTCACCAGCTGGGGAACATTACTGCTGCACGTGTGTATGTGTGTATATTACACACACATGCATACATGTGAGTGTGCGTTACACACATACACACATGGAGGGATATATTATACACACAGAGGCACGCTACTGCGCAGTACAAAAAAACGGAGTTCTAGTGACTCACCACAGCATTTATGAAGCTACAAACATTTTTGCACAGCAGGAAAAGCCAGATGCAAAAGACCACCTAGTGTGACGATTCCGTTTGTAGGCCCTAATCAGGAGAGACTACTTCCCAGGACAGGAAGTAGGCCGTGCACCTGGGAGCCGGTGGCTGGAAGAGGAGATTGCAAGCAGGTACGGGTGGGAAGCTGTAGGGAGCCCTATGGTGGATGGTCGCGCAACTGGACAAGGTTGCCGAGAGCTTTGGGTCCCATGCTTCAGATGAACATGTGGATCACGCCTCCATAGACACGTCACCACACAAGACCGTGAGCTAGATCCGGTTCCTTTTCCTGCTTCACTGAGAAACGGAGGCCGGAGCGTGAGGTGGAGGCTGAGTCTGAAACGCACGCCGGCTTCATTGTCCGAAGACCATGCGGGGAACCACCTGGCGGGGCCGCGCTGATGTCGGCATACGCGTACGGGAGCCGGCGTGTGGGGTCACCTCTCTCCTCCATGACGCCCGGGCTCCTGGGGGTCTTTCAGGGAAAAATCATCTCTTTGAAGGCTGGCATGTAGAAAAATCCCTTAACGGGGTTTCCCTTCCAACAGCCGCTGAGCCCCCGGCGGCCTCCTCGCCGGGACGGCGCCACTTGGGGTGGGAAGCTGGGCAGAGTCGCTCTCCTGGGGTGAGGTGAGCGCCACACTCTCCAGGGCAGCAGCCACTCCTTCCAGCGGGATTCCCACGGCCCCGTCTTTGATCACCTCAAGTGTTATTCTGCCACGAAACATCTGCGTTGCTTCAAGATGGGTCTGCGTGCATTGAGTCTTTAATGGCTTCTTGCCCCCTACGGCTGTGCTTGCTTGATGCTGTCCGTGCCCGAGGGCGGGGTCCCCTGGGCCAGACCCGAGGTCTGCCCACAGCCCTCATAAACCATGTCTGATCAGTGGGTGCCCGGGTTTGCTGGCTATTTTGGAGCGGTTTAGGGAGCAGGAGAGCAGGACATGGGCAGTATGGGAGAGCTCACTGCGGGCTTAGCCAGGTTCCCGCATCAGCAAGCCCCGGATCACCACGCAGGAGCCCCGGATCACCACGCAGGAGCCCCGGATCACCACGCAGGCGCACTGGCATGCTCATTTCACACTTGACTTAGATCAGCTGATGGCACTGGGTTTGAACTCAGACTCGTGAGGCCGGCTCTCTTACCCTTGAAGCACACCTTCCGTCCTTGTATGCACGGGTTACTGTTCAGATAGGGTCCCATTTCCTCCCCAGGCCTGTGGCTGGGCCACAGTACACAATAATCCTAATTTTTTTTTTCTATTGTAGTTGAGATGACAGGGGCACACCACTGTGTCCAGCTATCAACTGAGAAAGCCTCTCAGGAGTTTTGTTTTGTTTTTTAACTGGGACTAGCCATGAACCATGATCCTCCCAATATCGGCCTTGCAGACGTGAGCCACCGGCTTCTTTCTTAGCGTCAGGTATTTTCTCACATGTTGGTGGTACGTGTGTGTGTGTGTGCGTGTGTGTGGGTGAGGGTCTGACACAGACCCTCTGGCACATGGTAGATAAGGCCCCACCACTGGGTGGCGCCCTTGCTCCCCGCTGCCCTCTCTGACCTTTGTTGCGTTCTTGCTCGCTCCTGTGTGTGGCAGATTCTGTGTCCTGCTCTTTGTCCCTGAGTCAGTTTCGACCTCGTTTCCCGGGGGACAGGGAGCCCGGCACCCAGGCTCCCGCGGTACACCTGCCTGCTCTGCCGTGCGGGCGGCCCTGTCCCTGCGGTCGGTGTTAGAATCCTCGGAGGCCAGAGCATCCTTTCTGTCTGCCACCCTGGGCCTCGCTCGGTGGTTTGCTGCCTGAGTGAGGCTGTCGGCTGGCCCCCACCCCGCCGTGCAGGCTGGCCGGGGCCTCCGAGGGAAAGTGTGGAACTGAAACGTGAGGATGAGCCAAAACATCCTCAGGACACAGGCAAGGAAAGCTGGCTGTGGCCCTGAGTGGCTCGCGGGAGAACTGATGACCACACCATCGCTCCGTGTAACACCTGTGGGCCGGGGTGAGCGCCTGTGGGGCCTCAGTTTGGGGAAGATAAGGATGCTAAACAACCACCAGAGACGCTGCTGAGGAATTGTGAAAAGCTTCTCCCCGTCCCCACATTGCTATTTAAACATCACTTTTCGGCCTGCTCGGGGAAAACGCAGAACTCTGATCACGCGTGAGCCGCTGGAACGAGGTTTCGGGGCGCCTCTGGCTGGGTTAGGGGTCCTCAAACCCCACCTCCGCCCCAGCGTGGCTCGACCAGCCTCTGTCTGTAACTGCAGAGGGGCGACGGGACTTATCTCACTGGGATTTTGGAAGGTGTCTAGCAGGGCCTGGCACATGGGCACCGTGGCGTTTGCCAGAGAAGAGCTTCTCTGTTCTTCTTGTTGATGGGGTGGGGGGGGGGAGTGTTTGGGCAGAGACAGCAGAGCCATGCAAGTCGGGCTGATCTCGCTCTGCATTTCCTGCCTGAGATCCCCCCCCCCCCCGCCCCCATCCTCACAGGGCATATGGGATTTTCTAGCAACCGCGGTGATTTTTGCGCTAGAAAAGCATTGAGGCTTTATGGAATTCAAGGCGTAGCTCTGGGTGGTTGGCGAAGATCTACAGCCAGGTCTGGCGGCCGGGTGGGGCCCAGGGCCGCCATCATTCCTGGAGGCGTTGTGGCGGGCAGGACTGGCGCTCTGAGGGTGAGCAGCCGAAGGCGGCGTGCGAAGGGGCTGCACGGCTAAGCAGCACCGAGACGGCGTCTACCACACGGGGCTCTCACCGAGGAGGGCTGCCCGGCTGCGAGAGTCTGGGAGAAGGATTTCACAGAGACTGGCCTTTTGGAGGCGCCGGAGGCCCCACAGGGGAGGGGGGGGTGTTTTCTGGGCTGCGTAATCTGTGGCAGGTGCTGAGCGGGGTGGCGGGGCGGCTCGCGGGGTAGGGTGTGGAGCCTCATCGGAGCCTTGCCTCCGCTGGGCTGTCTACTAGAAGGCGCGAACACACACACGGTCCTTCCCCAGGGCACCTGTTAGCCAGCTTTTCTCTAAGCACCCCGGGCAACGTCAGGAGTGCTGCGAGGGTTGGGGCGCTTACTTCAGCCCAGTGCAGCCTCCTGCCTCGGCCCGCGCCTCTGCCTCCGCACTGCGCCCCGTGTGAGCGCTCTAATTCACGCTAGACAGAGCCGAGCCGGCCGGGCCGCGGTGTGTACTCACAACTCTCCAGCTGCAGCTTGCAGGTCTGTGTGTCCATGGGGTATTTGGACAGGTCCATGTTACAGGTAACAGTGGTTGTGATTCTAAGAGAAGAAAGACTGAGCGTCAGCCGAGGGGTCTGGGGTCACAGGCGTGCTGGGGACAGAGAAGGACTCGAGTTCTGACCGCCCGGACTCCCGAGCCGAGCTGCTGGCCGTCCCGGCCCGTCAGAATCGCACACAGAATCGCACACAGACCGGGTGACATGCTGCAATTCAGGCGGCTGCACAGGCACGCACGCAGACACGCACACACACGCATGAACAGTATGCACACGTGCACATGTGTGCTGTGGGATTACGGGGGACTGGAACAGGAGCATGGTGGGGCCGGGAGAGGCCCCTAAGGAGAAGCTGAGCTGTGGCTCTCTGGGAGGGTGGAGAGCTGCAGAGGAGGGCCTAGAAACTTCCATGATGGCCGGATAGCATGTGGCTTGTTGTTGGGAGTACGCACTGGTCACGTTCACGTTGGGCTCGGGTCCCCAGGCCTCTGAGGGGTGGGGCACCCCATCCTGGCCCCAGCAGGGCCCTGCGGGGAGCGTCAGCCTCAGGGCGTGGGGTGGAGGGGATACAGGCAGCCGCTCACCCGAGCGCACACAGTGACCACTCACGCGGCAGTGGAGCGCACACAGAGCTGCGGAGCCAGGAGCCACTCACCTGAGCGCATACAGGACCGTGCCGTTGGAGAAGAGGCGGACGAGCCTGTTCCCCACGGTGACCTCATGCAGGAAGGACTTCTTGGACTCCACAATGTACGTGTCAGGCACCCAGAGGAACTCCACCAGGCGGGCGTCCAGAGTGAAGCTCTTGTTGCCTTCAAATACCAGCCGCGGGTCTGTCCAGCGCTGGCGGAGGTAGATGGTGGCCGTGTAGTCCTGAGGAGGCGAGGACCGGTGCGGGGGCAAGGGAGGGAAAGGCCAGAATCGGAAGGGAAGGGGTCACATTCCGCCCAGGAGAACAGACACAGTGGCTGTTCCCCCAGACAACCCCAGTGCCGACGGAGCGGTGCAGGCCCCTGAGCCGTGGGGTGTAGGCTCACAGGGCAGACACGAGGAAGGTCTTCCTACGGGTGCCGATCGCCGGCCTCCACGATTCCCCGGTGTGCACAGCAGCCCTTTCCAGAAGACTGCCTTTAGTGTGGTCTCGTGCATGTGTGTGCGTGCGTGCACATGTGTGCATGTGTGTGCATGTGTGCGTGCATGCACATGTGTGTGCGTGAGCAGGTGTGTGCATGCATGTGCGTCTGTGCTGTGTGTGTACGTGCGTGTGCATGTGTGCTGTGTGTGTGTGCGTGTGTGTGTGTGTGCGTGTTCTCTAAGGAATGAGACTAGATTGAGTAACTCTCATTGGCTCATCTCCCTGCTGGACGGCTCTTATTGGCTCGTCTCCCTGCTGGACGGCTCTCATTGGCTCGTCTCCCTCCCCGCTGGACGGCTCTCATTGGCTCGTCTCCCTCCCCGATGGACAGCTCTCATTGGCTCGTCTCCCTCCCCGCTGGACGGCTCTCATTGGCTCGTCTCTCTCCCTGCTGGACGGCTCTCAGGGATTTGTCTTGACTCTGAAGGACTCTGTGGAACCTCAGCTTTTCCCCCACACTAATGCACTCATTTCATTTTCTGGGTTCTCTCCTCCTGGCCTCTGATTATCGTAAAACATGTCTGTGAGACTCTTCCATGGTCTTGACGTTGGACACTGTTCTAGCCACGGTCAGTCCAGACAGACTGAAAACCTTTCTTTCTGGTCTTTGGGAGACTTTTCCCTATTAAGCACAAGGAAAATCTCCCTGGATCACACAGAAGGAGTGCTCACACAGGGAGGTGCTCACACAGGGAGGTGCTCACACAGGGAGGTGCTCACACAGGGAGGTGCTCACACACAGGGAGGTGCTCACACAGGGAGGTGCTCACACAGGGAGGTGCTCACACAGAGAGGTGCTCACACACAGGGAGGTGTTCACACACAGGGAGGTGCTCACACAGAGAGGTGTTCACACACAGGGAGGTGTTCACACACAGGGAGGTGCTCACACACAGGGAGGTGCTCACACACAGGGAGGTGTTCACACAGGGAGGTGTTCACACACAGGGAGGTGCTCACACACAGGGAGGTGTTCACACAGGGAGGTGTTCACACAGGGAGGTGTTCACACAGGGAGGTGCTCACACACAGGGAGGTGTTCACACAGGGAGGTGTTCACACACAGGGAGGTGCTCACACACAGGGAGATGCTCACACAGAGAGGTGCTCACACACAGGGAGGTGCTCACACACAGGAAGGTGCTCACACACAGGGAGGTGCTCACACACAGGGAGGTGCTCACACAGGGAGGTGTTCACACACAGGGAGGTGCTCACACAGGGAGGTGCTCACACACAGGGAGGTGCTCACACGGGGAGGTGCTCACACAGGGAGGTGCTCACACAGGGAGGTGTTCACACACAGGGAGGTGTTCACACACAGGGAGGTGCTCACACAGGGAGGTGTTCACACAGGGAGATGTTCACACAGGGTGGTGCTCACACACAGGGAGGTGTTCACACACAGGGAGGTGTTCACACACAGGGAGGTGCTCACACACAGGGAGGTGCTCACACAGAGAGGTGCTCACACACAGGGAGGTGCTCACACACAGGGAGGTGCTCACACACAGGAAGGTGCTCACACAGGGAGGTGCTCACACACAGGGAGGTGCTCACACACAGGGAGGTGCTCACACAGGGAGGTGTTCACACAGGGAGGTGCTCACACACAGGGAGGTGCTCACACAGGGAGGTGCTCACACACAGGGAGGTGTTCACACAGGGAGGTGCTCACACACAGGGAGGTGCTCACACACAGGGAGGTGCTCACACAGGGAGGTGTTCACACACAGGGAGGTGTTCACACAGGGAGGTGTTCACACAGGGAGGTGCTCACACAGGGAGGTGCTCACACACAGGGAGGTGTTCACACACAGGGAGGTGCTCACACAGGGAGGTGCTCACACAGGGAGGTGCTCACACAGGGAGGTGTTCACACAGGGAGGTGCTCACAGAGGGAGGTGCTCACACACAGGGAGGTGTTCACACAGGGAGGTGTTCACACACAGGGAGGTGTTCACACAGGGAGGTGTTCACACACAGGGAGGTGTTCACACACAGGGAGGTGTTCACACAGGGAGGTGTTCACACTCAGGGAGGTGTTCACACAGGGAGGTGCTCACACAGGGAGGTGTTCACACAGGGAGGTGCTCACACAGGGAGGTGCTCACACAGGGAGGTGTTCACACACAGGGAGGTGTTCACACAGGGAGGTGCTCACACAGGGAGGTGTTCACACACAGGGAGGTGTTCACACAGGGAGGTGTTCACACAGGGAGGTGCTCACACAGGGAGGTGTTCACACACAGGGAGGTGTTCACACAGGGAGGTGCTCACACAGGGAGGTGTTCACACACAGGGAGGTGTTCACACAGGGAGGTGTTCACACACAGGGAGGTTTTCACACAGGGAGGTGCTCACACAGGGAGGTGTTCACACACAGGGAGGTGTTCACACAGGGAGGTGTTCACACAGAGGGAGGTGTTCACACAGGGAGGTGCTCACACAGGGAGGTGTTCACACAGGGAGGTGTTCACACAGGGAGGTGTTCACACACAGGGAGGTGCTCACACAGGGAGGTGTTCACACAGGGAGGTGTTCACACACAGGGAGGTGTTCACACAGGGAGGTGTTCACACACAGGGAGGTGTTCACACAGGGAGGTGTTCACACACAGGGAGGTGTTCACACAGAGAGGTGCTCACACACAGGGAGGTGCTCACACACAGGAAGGTGCTCACACAGGGAGGTGCTCACACACAGGGAGGTGTTCACACAGGGAGGTGCTCACACACAGGGAGGTGCTCACACAGGGAGGTGCTCACACACAGGGAGGTGCTCACACAGGGAGGTGCTCACACACAGGGAGGTGTTCACACACAGGGAGGTGCTCACACAGGGAGGTGCTCACACAGGGAGGTGTTCACACAGGGAGGTGCTCACACAGGGAGGTGTTCACACAGGGAGGTGCTCACAGAGGGAGGTGCTCACACACAGGGAGGTGTTCACACAGGGAGGTGCTCACACAGGGAGGTGTTCACACACAGGGAGGTGTTCACACAGGGAGGTGTTCACACACAGGGAGGTGTTCACACAGGGAGGTGTTCACACACAGGGAGGTGTTCACACAGGGAGGTGCTCACACAGGGAGGTGTTCACACACAGGGAGGTGTTCACACAGGGAGGTGTTCACACACAGGGAGGTGTTCACACAGGGAGGTGCTCACACAGGGAGGTGTTCACACAGGGAGGTGTTCACACAGGGAGGTGCTCACACAGGGAGGTGCTCACACAGGGAGGTGTTCACACACAGGGAGGTGTTCACACAGGGAGGTGTTCACACACAGGGAGGTGTTCACACAGGGAGGTGT